GAGTCGACTTGCAAGTCGAGCACGCCGTGCCCGGGCATCTCGATGCCATCCTCGGGACCCTGGATGACGTCTGGACCTTTCGCTTGGGCTTCATGATGCGCTTCGGTGCGCCGCCCGACCCAATGACGTCCGGGTATAAAATCTCCATAAACTCCTCGTGCTCAAATGAGCGCCCGCGCAAAGCGCGCGACAGAGGCTCTTTCTGGATGGCGAGTCAGCGACAACTCTAACTGAGAACCCTCAAAAACGTGACCGAAAAACAGAGACCAAAAAAAGGAAAATTAAAACAGAGTGCACCGCGACTCACCTCGATATGTGACCTCCATGCCTCCTCAGTCGCCGTGACAGTTCGCGTATTGGGATTGTAGAGGAACTCGGGGTCTTCGCGCAGACCTCTCCACAGACGAAACTTCTTCCGCGCATTATCGGACTTGTTGACAAGGTGGTTCTTGGTCGGATAGGCGGCGTGCTTCTCCTGCAGAGCGGCGGCGGCGCGATCCCAGGCCTCTGCTTTAAAGCTGTGGTTCTCGCGCAGGCCAAGCTGGACGGCCTCGCAGAGGGCGCGAAAGAAGGTAGCCTCGTAGGCTGGGGTCCAGCTGAAGCGCGGCGCACGCTTGTCGCGATCGGACGAGGCGGCTAGGCCGGACGGACCATCGATGGAAAACTCGTCGTCCGACATGACGGGGCGAGGGAGCACCGGACAAGGCGCGATGCCGGTATACAGTGCCGGCGAAGGGCGAACGGGGCGGGATGAGGCTCAATGTGGATGTTGGTGAAAGGGATCGTCGCAGGTCGGGACCGAAGCCGCACGCGCGGCGGTCGTCGGTCGGTCGATGGTGGCGAAGAAGTGGAGGAGATGGATGGGACACCGGTGGCGATGCAGTATTGGGTCGCGGGTCGTGGGGGGAGGGGATTCGTTTCGGGGGGGGGGCACCTGTCGCAATGTGGCAGGCAGGGTCTCGTGGCTGTAGCTCGTTCTTCAGGGTCGCGGGTTGCAGGGTCGCAGGGTCGTAGGGTCGCAGGGTCAGACGGAGACTGTTGAAGGCGAAATCAGCGAGGCTGGTCCGGATGGAGCCCTGTCAGCGTTCCCTGCAGCGCGCAGCACCTTGAATGCCTCAGTTGTACCACCCAGGACAGGTGAGGTAAGGCAAGGCAGAGGCAGAATAGGTGGGCAGGGTCCGAGGGTCTGTCTGTCTGAGAGGCCTGAGGGCCTGAGGAGAGCCGCCTGGAGAGGCTTGACAGCGGCGAGGCGAGCGGGGCAGACAGCGAAAGGACCCCCGGCAGACGGACGCCGACGCTGGGGGGGGTGGGTGGCCCCGGTCGGGGAACGAATCTGGTTGGCTGGTTTTGAATCGACCAATGAGAGAACTGGACGCGTCAGAGAAAATCACGTGGCCTGTCATGTTTCTTTCCGGAACTCCGCTGTCGCTTGCCTCTCCTTGCTGTCCTTGCTCTCCTTGCACTCCCCACCTGTCGTTCTGCGTCAACGCCGAATCAGAAGGCGGGAGTCAGTTCCTTCTGGTGGCCTGGCCCTCGGGTGGCTGACACGAAGGGCTGACAGCAACACTACCTATCGGCTGAGCGGCAAAATGTCGGTTATTCGCTGGAGATGGGATACCGGCAGGTCTCGTCTCGACTCAACTCGGCTCGTTTCTCCTCGCCTCGATCCCTCATCGTTGAGGCTTGTATCGTCGAGGCTATCGATTTCCGCGCCAGCCACTGCATGATGCTTCCGGGGCAACTGCTACTTCGTGTTCCGTGAGAAGTGTTCTAGCGAAAGCTTCCCTTGCCGTGGAGCTGGAACTCGTCGTTTCAAGCCAGGCAAGCCTGAGTCAAGACAAAGAAGGGGGAAAAGGAACTCGTGCGCCGCCAGCAGCCAAGGGCGTCTGCTAAGCGTTTGTTGGCCCGTCCTTTAGGCCACTTCGTGGACCAACTTGCGGTCAAGCAGCATTCGACAACAATGGCTGTCGCTTCTTGGTTGCGAGTAGCAATGGAAGAGCATGCATCACCGAAAAAAAGGGCCATGCCGAGGCCTCCTGTTGAAGTGTCGGTGCGCAACTGATTGCTGGGAGACCAGCAGCCACATGTTTACGACGGCATCTCGTTTCCGCCGCTGTTATTCTTGACTATGCATTTCCCACAGGATTCGGCCTTGTGCTGGATAGAACGGCAAAGGCCAGTATGCTTGGAGCCCGGTTGTCAGCGAAAACAGTTTCGGAAGCATGACGAGGCCATATGCCGTCACGGCCTTGCGTGAGGCCAGCCCCACGCAACAGAGGCATTGGTCGTCTGTCGCGGCTAGCCGGCTCCCTCAAACACGCTTCTCGACGGGATCCCGACTTCGCGACAGATTGACCACGCTTGCAGGTGGCCGAATACCAAGCTCCTGTCAATGTCACACTAACCTGCCTGATCGATGCCGCGTAGAAGAAAGGGTACTAATTCTCTGTTCTCGATGACGAAGGAAGTAGTTAATCGGATGCTTTGCTGGACTTGACAAGGCTAGCTATCCCATTCCAAAGCGGATTTCAGGTCGACAGTGAGAACCGCCGCTGAGCCCCGATACCGACTCAACACGAGGGACACTCAGCATCCTGGCTCTGCTCCATTGCTTGTAGCAACAGCAGTTGCGAGTCAATCGCCGTGCAGCATTTCCCAGTCGGAGATTTTTTTCATCGCCATCCACTACACTACACTGGACTAAACAATCTGCCTCGAAGAGGGGCAGAGAGACACCTGACGACTGGCCATCCATCACCGCTCGCCATGTTCTAGCGCTGAACACTTGCATCCAGCCCGCACGCCGGCCGCCCAGCCAGATCGCTGCAACCCCTGAGCGGCTCTCCCATGGTGGGGGGCGCCAACCCCTGGCTAGCCGATCTCGATGCACATCCCAAACACCCTCCCCGCCCTCCCACGGCTCCCTGATCCCCTGTTTCGACGCTGACTGGGTGAGCAGGCTCTGCCGTCGAACGACAATCCTTGATGGACCTAAAAGAAACACGCAACACGGCCGCAAGTACAGTCCGTGGTCCTGGCCCGCTTGGTCGTCCAATCTGAGACTTGGCGGTCGTCAGCCTCCCTGCTGGGCGAACCACCTCGTCCGATTCCTGCAATATGTAAAGCCGTCAGATCCCCGCGGTCTTGAGGCGCTGCTACCATTACTCATTCTTTTGGCCCCAGAGCTGTCGGGTTTGGTGATATCTTGAGGGTGTTGCTTCTTAGTTTTGACCCATTTCCCTTCTCTCCACGCTCCGTATTTGTCTTCTGTTTTCACCCATTCCATTCACTCTTTGGAACCTTCGTGATAGACTCACAAGGTTCGCTCCATTTCATTGTCCTTGTCCACCTGGCGTGGCATGACATCCTCTCCTTCCGATATCTGACCATAGAACGTCACTCACTTGCATCTTATCTAGTCAGTATGCGTTCACCGGTCCATTCACTGCTCTTCTGCTTGGGCCTGTTTGCCCTCCTCGCCGAGGCGTCCCCTGTTCGGTCCGACACCCGGAATACGATCCAGAAACGCTCCTTCCTCGTCCCGCGTGTCAAGAACGAGAACTTTCAAGGTCACAATGGGCCCCGTCAGCTTTTGAGAGCCTACCGCAAGTACAGTATGCCTGTGCCGCAGGGTCTCGAGGAAACTGTTGCTCGACAGACGGCACAAGCCAAGCTCAAGGCTCGCCGGAGGAACGGCACGGGGGTTGTCAAGGCCACTCCTATCCGCAACGACGTTGAATATGTCTCGCCCATCAAGATTGGCGGCCAGACGGTTACTGTCGACTTTGATACCGGGTCTTCTGACCTTTGGGTCTTCACCTCACAACTCGGTAGACAGGCACAGGCTGGTCACGAAATTTACCACCCTGCCCAGAGCAAAACATTTTCTATGCTTCGCGGAAACAGCTTTGATATTTCATACGGCGACGGATCTGGAGCCGCAGGCAACGTCGGCACGGACGTCGTCGATATTGGGGGCGCTACTGTCACGCGGCAGGCCATTGAGATGGCGACAGCCCTGTCCGCCTCCTTTGTCGAGGATACCGCGAACAATGGTCTCATGGGCCTCGCCTTTTCCAAACTCAACACAGTCAAGCCTCAGAAGCAAAAGACCTTCTTCGACAACGTTATGCCGAGCCTCGCCGAGCCCGTTTTTACGGCTGACCTGAAGAAGGCCGCCGTCGGTGCGTACGAGTTTGGCCGTGTCGACCCCGCCAAGTTTGTTGGTCAGATGACGTACGTTCCGGTCAACACTTCGAACGGCTTCTGGCAGTTCTCGAGCGAAAGCTTCTCGGTCGATGGTGGCACCCCTCAGCCCGGCCAGCCGGTGGCCAGGCCATCGCTGACACGGGCACAACCATCATCCTCGCCAATCCCGCTACTGTCGAGGGCTACTACGCAGCAGTTTCCGGCGCCGTCAACGACAGCAGC